ATTGTATAAGTGAAGTATCCATTTTTTGTATATATTTCACAGACACTGGCATGAATATAATATTAATTATTTTGATGAAAAGCACCGAAAGTAATAATCCATTTGGTAACAAAAACATGTACAGAACTGTTACAGAAAAACTGTCTATAACCCAAAAGATAAAAAATGATATGCTGAAAAATTTTATAAAAATGAAAAAAATGAAAATATTTTCCGTCACTGAGAATAATTTACCTTTTAGCATCAAAATCTGAGAAAAAAATATTTGTTGTATTTGATTCTGGATATTCAAATATTGTCTTAGCATTTGGAAGAAACACTATAACGAGGGGCATCAGTTGGCAAACTGGTAAAATAATATAAAGTGAGAATTTAAAAAATTTTTTAAAAGAACTTTCACTGTCCCAAAATGTGTTCATTTTGATTTTTCGTTTTGCCTTATGCCTTCGAAACCTAGTGTCTTTGTGAGTAATGTCTGAATGTTTATATAAATATTTAGATATCCATGGTTTTTTCCTGGGAAAACCCTGGAAAAATTAGTCACAAATAACCATTGCAAGAAGACCCAAATAAAAGACTAAGAAACCTTTGGCAGCCATTTTGTTATTGTGAAATCTACTTTCTGTTTTGATTTAGGTAAAGAAAAAGCTTTTATAGGTATTGCTACAAAATCATTACCTACATCATCTTATACAATTTTCATAATAGATTATGCTTAAACTATTTTACTATACACAACTTTTAACAATCTGATTATCTAACCTACACAGTAAAACACAATAGATTTGTCAAATAATATTTCAATTATTTTCCTAGAGGTTCAATTTATATTAGGGATAAGGCATGGCTAAGTTATATAGTGTAGCCCAGTTCTAATTCAATTAGCCATCCTTAAGATTTGGCTAAGTTATAATCTAATTAGTTCTCCTGTTGTGTAGTTCACTTATAATTCAATTAATCCACAAAAGAGCTGGACTATGTAACATTCTGTAACTAAAGATGAATATCAATTAGACAACGTACCAATTGTAAAGTGATGATTGACCTCAAAGTATTCAAACACTCAGTGTTCTAGGTGTCTTAATCTAATCATTGTGGCATCTATCAAAAATAATGAAGAGCAATATGATCTTTGGAAATTTGCTTTGAAAATATCTTTTTTTTCACTAAAAAGCATACAAAGTATAGATCACAGTATCCCGTATTTTAATCCATTTAAAACATTTTTCATTTAATCCATTTTTCATACTAAAATTAAAAAACATGAATCAGTATATTTTAAAACTGGATATAATCTTATTAAACCAGCCGGGCAAATTTCTTGTTCCTCTAATTTGAAAGAAATTTGTAATACAGGCATCAAGTCATCTGGAAGAACAATTGCTAAAGTTATATTAAAGAATTTAAATGAAAATGAAAATAGCCTGCCAAAAATGAAAATTCCAAGGTTAGCTAACATTAAAAGGCAAGAATCAAGGTCAAAGAAGATTTTCAAAACAAGATAAACATTTCTTTTCTCTTAAATTTACCTATCAAAATCAAACTCAGTGGTTGGCATAAAGCAGAGGGGATTTATATATTGTAAGGCTTCCTTCTAGATATACTTTGCATAACTAGTACTTGTTGTTTACAGGGTAGACATTATCTATTCATATGCATATTGCATATTGTACAACTTCTTTTATAGTAATGCTCCAGTTTTATCACAGTTGCATGCAAAACTTAAATAGATTCTGTTAATTACTGAAAAAATCTACACTCTTTCCAAGACGGAATCCATTGTTTGTAGTTTCTTGAATTAAGGAAGTGCCAATTACGGTTCAGTAGTTCACAAGTGCTTTTTGCAGTTGTTGAGCTCAAATGTAACATTTCCAATAGATGTAGTCATCAACAAAACTATAAAGAATAAAGTGACCAAGAAAATTACTGTTAAAAAGGTTTTACCCAGGTGCTGTTTCACTTGCCAATCCAAAAGGCCTAGCTACAACATTGTATTCAACTATCAATAAAACCATTGAAATGCTATTTATTAAAAACTAGAAGTATTGTTAAGAAAACTATAGAAAAGAAATGTGGCTTATTCATAGTTTCATTGTTTAATTCTTAATATTTTTCAATATTCAAATCCAGCTTCTTGTACAGTTTAATAGTAATTTCCTCTTTACAAGACTTTTAAAAGCATCAGCTTCAGAGCCAAGTGCCTTCTGTTAAAAATTCAGTAGATACTTAACTGTTTAATTAATTTGTATTCTTACTTCGAAGTTCTTCAAAATTTCTGTCTTTATGATAATGAGGATGAAAATTAGAAGGAAACATTCCATTGACCTGATATACAATTAACAGCAATTAAAGCTCAGACTTTTGAAACAATTTAAACTGTACACAACTTTGTACACTGTCCTACTTCCAAAGAGCATTTTTGGAGATCAGTATAGATCAAGACAGTCAAAAATTACTATACAAAATAGTTCATGCATATGGTTCAACAAATTCTATTTAATTATAGACAAATATTATGATTTGCATCTTTAACTTTAAAACTACAGTTAATTAATTAATAAGCCGTGACTGGGTGAAATTGTACCCATTGAGAGTAAAACCATACCCATTGGTGTTGAATCTGTACCCGTTAGGAGTGAATCTGTACCCAATAGGGGTGAATCTCTTGCTATGAACAAGTAAAATTGTTGCTGTTGATACATATGAAAATAAAAAAAAATATGATAATGTATGTATTGAAGAACTATTATACTATATGTTAACTAAAGAAAAGAATTGATAATAACAACTAGGGAGTATAAATAAAGGAAGTCTGGATTACTAATTCATCAGCTAATATCCTTCCAAGCCTATAATTATCCCAGATTTCAAATATTTTTCTTCTCTATATCATCATATTTTTTTCTCTGATATTTGATAATCTTCTCACAGAGAAGTTTTTCAAAAATACTAACCAAATCAGCCTCTCTTTTTAATTCATCAATCCACAAATAGAATGATCCTTTTGATTGTACTTTATTATTCATTCTATTGTGCCATCCTTCCATATTATTATTAGTCCTTATTGATAATCAAAAGATTGACCAATTCAATGGTTTCCAAGTAGAATTCAAAATTCAAGCATCTTCAAAATATTCCAGCAAGTCTGAAAATTTTCTCTTTTCTTCCAGCTGACTCTTCAAGCTAAAAAATGTAGGAGTAATAATAGGTAATAATAGGTAGAAAAGGTAAAGCTATCAACTTCCTCAGATCTCTCCAGTCCTCTCCTGAAAAAAACTGGTACTTGTATATCACATGTTTGTTAAAACAAATAAATTAATTATTTCGTTTCTTAATTTTCTCATGTTGACAGTTAAAACTTCATTCAGGTACAATTTCACCCATCACGGGTACGATTTAACCCCGGTATGATTTCACCCTCAATGGGTATGGTTTCACCCCTATTCAGACATACTTCCTCCTTATAAATGATTATTATATTTATTATCTATTTGTGGATGAACTTTAAAGGATTTTCATGAATTGGTAAATGATTGGAAAGAATGAATACTGTTGGGACGTACAAGAAATTTCTACAATTACCTTACAACAGTGTACACAAAGTTTAATTTTGAAGTGATAGAATGTAATATAAAGCCATATCGTGGGTTTGGCACTGTGCCAAACATAATTGCACACTAGATAAAATTCACAAAGGCGAAGCCCATTTTTAGTCTTTCATCTAAATGATATAACTTTTGAATAACATATTATTATGATATTGAATTCTCTAAGTAAACAATCTATAAATAATGGATTGTTTGAAATTTAAGAGAAGGAGAGCCTATAATACATAGACGTGAAAACTATGAAGTTAATCTTAAAATAGAAATTGCATTTAGTAAGATAATTTTGAAAAATAGATAGAATTTCTTTAAGTTGAAAAGGGTGTTTTATTTCATAAATTTATCTAAAAAATTATTTTCATGTTTTATATTTGTAATGTGTTAATTTTTAAACATTTTTTAATTGTGTTTTTACAAGAGTTAGAAGATGAATATTCTCTTTTTATGTTTATTTCCTTTTGTTTTCCAATCGAAAATATCTTTGGAAATAATTGAGGATCATATTCAATTTATTATTGGAAGGGTTTATGTAAAAAAAATGGCCATTGGTGGAGAAATTCAATCATTTCCCGTTGCTCATGATAGATGTTTAAACATCTATAATGACAAGTTATGTGAACATTTTGGCTATGATAATAACCACTACATTACAAAGAGATGTCAGCATATTACTCAAAATCTAAATTTATCAATTACATTTCATTCATCATATTTTACAATGAAAAGATCTTTTGAATGTTGCAAATTGTTGTATTTTAAATTTTTAAACATTTTAAGAAATTTTTTTGATCATTTTTTCATTATTTTTAGATCCTTTTCAAAAAATTTAGTAAAAGAGAGAAAATATTTTCTCTGTGTAAAATGCTTTAAAACCTCTATTCCATGTTAAATTTTCTCTTCTTTACATAGCTGTAATGATTTTATTCTTACAATTAATTTTTCTTTTTGTTTCCCTCATCAGATTTATTTGGAAATCAAATTTCGAAAAAGAAATTTTTGATCTTTCATCGACTGAAAAAGAAATCTTCGCTCTTAATTGGTAATAGAAATTTAACTAGTGAACAGTGTGAAAGTGTTCAATATTTAAAATACTACAAGAATTTTGTTACAAAAACATATCAAAAGTTTATATCATTTGAAAAGAAAGTACTTTATACAATAGCATGGAAATATGACAAGAAGTTAGCTAATCTGTCATGTGACTTTAAAGATATTAAAGGTACCTAAAAACCATTAAGGGAATTCTTGAAGTAAAACATTCCAGATTCTAACAGACGCAACAATCTTGTTACGAAATTCATCAGTTGGAGAAAAGAAACCCAAAAATATTTTTACTATTATCAATCTTAAAATCTCATCCAAAACATACGGTGTAATGATTCTAGCAGTCTTAATAATGCATCAAGAAAAAGAGCGTATTATTGGAAACCATATTTGTAGAAAATATAATCTAATCTCTTCTCCAATATCTGGAAAATCTGGAATTGCAGATAACTATAATGTAAATGTTTTAATATAGGTTTTTTTGGAATAATCATCTGTAGCTTTCTATAGAAAAATCGTTGCAAGATATACATCAATAATGATCCTTTTCAGGTAAGAGAAACAGAACTGAAAGAATTATTTAAAAAGACATTGGTAGAAAAAGGATTGTACGAAAAATATTGTCTATGTGAAATCTGTTTATAAAGTATAAATATTTTGTATATTACAGCATTTGAATTTTAACAGGATATTATATTGGACAATTGTGATTGGTCAGATGAGTATTTGTTTGGATGTGAATATGGTGAATATTCTGTTGGTTTTTACATCTCAAAAGTGGCTTGTGAACCTAATCTCGATTTTAAAGGTTTCATAATATTAAAATGGCTCCTTTTGACATTGAAAATATAATGACAATATTTTTTAGAAAATAGTTTTAGATTAAGCAGTCCAACTATTAATTATTATCAAAATGACAGTTTAACAGATAAAAAAGAGTTTTTTGGATATCCACAAGTATTTCAGGGTGGAATGTGGAAAAATTTACTAGCTTTTCAAATGAAATATCATATTCCAAGATTGATCTGCAAATATTTTGGATCAGAAGATGGCTACCTATATTTACTACCAACAGCAATAGAACATAAACTACAATTATATTTGTCATTAGAAATTACTTGTAATATTACTGCTCAATATTTAAAGGATTGTCAAATTACCACACCACTTTATTCAGGGCTGTCAGTGGAGTGAAATTTTTTTATTTTTTTTCAGTTTTTAATTTACAATTATTATCTTCAACAGTTTTAAAGATTCAAAGTTATCTGATGTATCACAAGCATTTACCTTGAGTTGTTCACACAAAGCATCAATGGGTAACAACTCGGTAGAGTTTGTCTATAAAAAACACAAAAAATCCATTCAATTCCATTAGATTGTCCTTTGAAAGACTCTATCAAGATTTCATATATATGCTATACAATTTTTAAAAATCCAATAAGTTTGTCTCCTTTATCAATGAGAAAGAAATGCCTGGAAAAGAATTTAACTCTTATCGACGAAACGTTCCAGTCTTTTTCGAATATTTACATGTTCCTTTTGCTCCATTTTAAAATCTTAACGTATGATAAAAACTTTCCAAGTCATCTGGAAAATATATTCTTCACTGGTAAAAACAAAACAGAAATTTCAACTGGAACAGAATTATTAAAATATTAAAAATTGTTTTTTTTTCTTTCAAGATAACACTGAAGTTGATGGAATATCACAAAATATAAAATTTATAAGAACTTCTTCAAACCTACCATATGATTTTACAACATTAATTTCAGACGGATTTCATGGAAGTAAGTTGGAGAAAATAGATTTTGATGTCTTCATGGTGTTGTTTTTTATTTGAAGCATTTTAAATAGCTAACTAATTGATAGATCTCAACAAAAACAATCAAGAATTATCTATTTTAAATCCATATCACAAATGTTTTATAATTATGGAAAGACTTGATAATGTTTTTAGGCTAAAGATGGCTGAAATAGAAATACATAAGAAACCAATTTCTTGTATAATGCTTACTTCAAAATATTACACTTGTCAAACTATTTTAAGTAAAATTAACTAAGCATTACTTGTCTTTTAATTAAAGGAAAACATTCTTTTCATCTTTTGAAACAAAATAAAAAAATAATAGAAAAAAAAAGATATTTTTCCCAATCAATTAATGAAAGTTCATTTTATAATTGCCCAAATAATAGTTTTCACTGTACATTGGATAATATTTGTATAAGTCATTTGCAAGTTTGTGACAATAATAAAGACTGTCCAACTGGTGGAGAAGATGAATTCAATTGTACAATTAGTTTCAATTTTACTTGTTTAAATTTATCTAAACATTTCAATATACTATTTCAATTTGTTTGCAATTATAAATTTGATTGCTTTGATGGCTCTGATGAAAAATATTGCTATTCTAATCAAAGTTCTTTTCTCATTAAACTCTATACAATTAATTTTAAATTTTTATTAAATATGCAACTTTTTTATGTAGATCATTCTACTCAATTAGGATTTTTGAAAAGGTAAAAATTGATTTTATCTTTAAGCTGAATTGAATAGAAAGCAAATGTTTGTTATGCAGGTGCGACGAATGGAGATATTTAGAGAAGGAAAAATTTTGTGACAACCAATGCAATTGCTTTGATAAAACTGATGAAGAATGTAATGAATATTTGAATCCTGAGAATAAGAAAATTGAAAGTAATCTTATAACTGAATTGACACTTTTTGTATATTTTCTTTAAACATTTAAAAATAAGGTTGTAGATTAGATACTCAGATTAAATGCTTAGATTATTGCTTACCTTTGCATATGAATTGTGATAAATTAATTCATTGTCCAGATGGATCTGATGAAACATCTTGTAGGCAAATGATGAAAACTTTTATCAAGTAATTTTAATCAAATAGCTACATTTATCTGAGTAGAATTAGATAGACAAATTTCAAATGTTGTTAGAGTGAAAAGTCCAAATTATACTGCAATACTATCTCCAAAGAAAAAATGTCATTTGATCTATAATTCTTTTGGATACTTAGAAACCAAAATTCATGATCCACGCTATCCATTTGGAATATTCAACTGTAACAAAAAATTCTGCCCTGGTGGATTCTTATGCACGGAACATAAATTTTGCATTTCAATAGAAAATGTTTGCGATGGAATTAATCACTGTTGGAGTAATGAAGATGAATTCAATTGCAGTAGACTTTAAACATCTCCAATTTAGAGAATTTGTATATATCTTTCTTTTAGGCAATTTTCATCCAAGAGGATTTTTCAAATGTCAATTTGAAAAAAAATATTTAAATTTGAATAAAATTTGCGATGGCATTGTGCATTGTAAATATGGAAATGATGAAATATTTTGTCCAAAAGAAATTATTGAATGCCCAAAATTTTGTAGTTGCTATCCTGTATATTTATGGAATTGTTCTACTTTTTTTGATATTACTGCTGTATTGAAATCTCCAATTGAAAGGCGTATGATAGATTGGTTGAAATATCTAATCATTTATA